TACTCTACCACACTCCAGCCTACTCCACCACACTCTAGCATATTCCTCCACACTAGAGCCTAATCCACCACAATCCAGCCTACTCCACCGCACTCTAGCCTATTTCACCACACTCCACCCTACTCCACCACACTCTAGACTACTCCACTGCACACTTGTCTACTCCACCACACTCCAGACTACTTCACCAACTCTAGCCTAGTCCACCACACTTTAGCCTTCCACCAGACTCCAGCCTATTCACCCACTTTAGCCTACTTCACCAGACTCGCCTACTCCACCATACACAGCCTTCTCACTACACACCATTACGCACTACACACCTACCTACTCCACCGCACTCTAGCCTACTCCACAGCACTCTACCTTACTCCACCACACTCTAGCCTTTTCTACACTTTCCAACCTACTCCACCACTTCCACCTACTCCATCACACTCTAGCCTACACCACCACACTCTAGCCTATTCCACCACACTCCAGCCTACTCCACCACACTCTATACTACTCCACCACACTCTAGCCTATTACACCACACTCTAACCTACTCCACCACACTCCAGCCTACTCCACCGCGCTCCAGCCTACTCCACCACACCCTAGTCAACTCCAACACACTCTAGTCTACTTCACTACACTCTAGCATATTCCATCACACTCTAGCCTATTCAACCACAGTCTAACCTATTCCTCCACAATGTAGCCTACTCCACCACACTCTAGTCTACTCCACCACGCTCCAGCCTTCTTCAACACACTCCAGCGTGCACCACCACACTCTAGCCTACTCCACCACACTCTAGCATACTCCACCACACTCCAGCCTACTACACCACACTCTAGCATATTTCGCCACACTAGAGCCTGTTCCACCACACTCTAGCCTATTACACCACACTCTAGCCTATTCCACTTTACTCTAGCCTACTCCACCAAACTCAAGCCTTCTCCACCACACTCCAGCTTACTCCACCACACTCCAGCATATTCTACCACACTCCAGCCTACTCCACCACACTCCAGCCTACTTCACCGCACTCTAGCCTACTTCACCACACTACACCCTACTCCACCACACCCCAACCTACTCCACCACACACCGGATTATTCCAAAACACACCAACCTATTCCACCACACTGCAGCCTTCTCCGCCACACACCAGTCTACTGCACTGCACATTAGTCTACTCCACCACACTCCAGACTACTCCATCAAACTCTAGCCTACTCCACCACACTCTAGCCTATTCCACCAGACTCCACCCTATTCTACCGCACTCTAGCCTACTCCAGCATACACCAGCTTACTCCACCACACACCAGATTACTGCACTACACACCAGTCTACTCCCACACTCTAGCCTACTCTACCACACTCCAACCTACTCCACCGCACTCCAACCTACTCTACCGCACTCTAGCCTACTCCACCACACTCTAACCTACTCCACCACTCTCCAACCTACTCCACCCACTCTAACCTACTCCACCACACTAGCACTCTCACACTCAGTACTCCACCACACTCAGCTACTCCACCACACTCAGCCTACTCCACCCGCTCCAGCCTACTCCACCACACTCAGCCACTCCACCACACTCTAGCTTACTCCACCACACTCCAGCCTATTACCACCACACTCAGCCTATTCCACACACACAGCCTATTCACACACACTCTAGCCTATTCCACCAAACTCTAGCCTAATTCCACCACACTCTAACCTACTCCACCACACTCTAGCCTACTCACCACACCAGCCTACTCCCCACACTCTAGCATATTCTACCCCACCGACACTCACCATGCCTATATACCACCTACAGCTATCCACCACACTTCAGCTACCACCGCTTTAGCCTACTTCACCACACTAACCATACTCCCCACACCCACCCTACTCCACCACACACTCAATATCCATACACCCAACTATCCACACACTGCAGCCTTCTCCGCACACACCAGTCTACCACTGCCATAGTCTACTCCACCACACTCTGACTACTCCATCAAACCTCCTACTCCACCGCGCTCCAGCCTACTCCACCACACTCTAGCCAACTCACAACACACCTAGCTTACTCACCACACTCAGCCTACTTACACCACATTCAGCCTATTCCACCACACACTAGCCTATCCACCACACTCTAGCCTATTCACCAGACTCCACCTATCTACCCACTCCAGCCTATCTCCACCATACACCAGCTTACTCCACCAACACCAGTTATCCTACACCACACTCCCACACTTTGCCTACTCCAACACTCCTACTCACACTCCAACCTACTACCACACTCTACCTACTCTCACACCTCCAACCTTTCCCCCACACTCTAGCCTACCATCACACCAGCTACTCCACCACACTCTAGCCTACTCCACCACACTCCAGCCTACTCCACCGCGCTCCAGCCTACTCCACCACACTCTAGCCAACTCCACCACACTCTAGCTTACTCCACCACACTCCAGCCTATTACACCACACTACAGCCTATTCCACCACACTCTAGCCTATTCCACCACACTCTAGCCTATTCCACCAAACTCTAGCCTATTCCACCACACTCTAACCTACTCCACCACACTCTAGCCTACTCCACCACACTCCAGCCTACTCCCCCATACTCTAGCATATTCTACCACACTCCAGCCTACTCCACCATGCTCTATCATATTACACCACACTACAGCCTAATCCACCACACTTCAGGCTACTTCACCGCTCTCTAGCCTACTTCACCACACTCCACCTTACTCCACCACACACCAGCCTACTCCACCACACACCGGATTACTCCACTACACACCAGCCTATTCCACCACACTCCAGCCTACTCCGCCACTCACCGGTCTACTCAACTGCACACTAATCTACACCACACTCCAGACTACTCCACCAAACTCTAGCCTACTCCACCACACTCTAGTCTATTCCACCAGACTCCAGCCTGTTCTACTGCACTCAAACCTACTTCACCAGACTCCAGCCTACTCCACCACACACCAGATTTCTGCACTGCACACCAGTCTACTCCACCACACTCTAGCCTACTCTACCACACTCCAACCTACTCCACCACAGTCCAGCCTACTTTAAAACACACTAGTCTACTCCACCACACACCGGCCCAGTCTACCACACTCCACCCTACTCCACCACACACTAATCTACTCCACTACACACCTGCCTACTCCATCATACTCCAGCCTACTCCACCACACACCATTCTACTCCACCAGACTCTAGCCTACTCCGTCACATACCTGCCTACTACACCACACTCCAGCCTACTCCACAACTTTCCAGCCTACTCCAATACACTCCTGCCTACTACACCATACTCCAGCCTACTCCGCCATATTCCAACTTACTCTACCACACTCCAACCTACTCAGCCACACACCAGCCTACTCCACCACACTCCAGCTTACTCCACAGCTTTCCAGCCTACTCCATCACACACCAGCTTACTACACCACACTCCAGTTTATTTCACCACACTCCGGCCTACTCCATACTCCAGGCTACTCCTTTCCCCACCCTAGTCCATATTCCTGCCTACTCCATTCCCCAGCCTACTCCATACTCCAACCTACTCCATACAGCTTACTACATTACACTCCAAGATACTCCACCACATTCTAGCCTATTCTGCCTACTCCCTGAGGGAGGAGAGGTGAGGCCTGAGCCGTGAGGGATGAAAGGTGAGGGATGACAGGTGAGGGATGACAGGTGAGGGATGACAGGTGAGGGATGACAGGTGAGTGATGATAGGTGAGGGATGACAGGTGAGGGATGACAGGTGAGGGATGACAGGTATGGGATGACAGGTGAGGGATGACAGGTGAGGGATGACAGGTGAGGGATGACAGGTGAGGGATGACAGGTGAGGGACGACAGGTGAGGGATGACAGATGAGGGATGACAGGTGAGGGATGGCAGGTAAGGAATGACAGGTGAGGTATGACAGGTGAGGGATGACAGGTGAGGGATGACAGGTGAGGGGTGACAGATGAGGGATGATAGGTGAGAGATGACAGGTGAGGAATGACAGATGAAGGATGACAAGTAAAGGATGACATGTGAGGGATGACAGGTGAGGGATGACAGGTGAGGGATGACAGGTGAAGGATGACAGGTGAGGGATGGCAGGTAAGGAATGACAGGTGAGGGATGACATGTGAGGGATGACAGGTGAGGGATGACAGGTGAAGGATGACAAGTGAGGGATGACAGGTGAGGGATGACAGGTGAGGGATGACAGGTAAGGGATGACAGGTGAAGGATGACAGGTAAAGGATGACAGGTGAGGGATGACAGGTGAGGGATGACAGGTGAGGGATGACAGGTAAGGGATGACAGGTCAGGGATGACAGGTCAGGGATGACAGTAAGGGATGACAGGTGAGGAATGACAGGTATGGGATGATAGGTCAGGGATGACAGGTCAGGAATGACAGGTAAGGGATGACAGGTGAGGGATGACAGGTGAGAGATGACAGGTGAGGGATGACAGGTGAGGGATGACAGGTAAGGGATGACAGGTGAGGTATGACAGGTGAGGTATGACAGGTGAGGGATGACAGGTGAGTTATGACAGGTGAGGTATGACAGGTGAGTTATGACAGGTGAGGGATGACAGGTAAGGGATGACAGGTGAGGTATGACAGGTTAGGTATGACAGGTGAGTTATGACAGGTGAGGTATGACAGGTGAGGGATGACAGGTGAGTTATGACAGGTGAGGTATGACAGGTGAGTTATGACAGGTGAGGTATGACAGGTGAGTTATGACAGGTGAGGGATGACAGGTAAGGGATGACAGGTGAGGTATGACAGGTTAGGTATGACAGGTTAGGTATGACAGGTGAGTTATGACAGGTGAGGTATGACAGGTGAGGTACGACAGGTGAGGGATGACAGGTGAGGGATGACAGGTGAGGCATGACAGGTGAGGCATGACACGTGAGGGAGGGTTGAGATACTCACCCGTCAAGGTGAGACACTTCTATCCTGCGCGTGACACTGTCCAGCCAGTACACGTGATCGTTCACCCAGTCCACTGCAATTCCACTGGGCTTCCGCAGTCCCCACCTCACGATGGCTGTGTGTGTGTGTGTGTGTGTGTGTGTGTGTGTGTGTGTGTGTGTGTGTGTGTGTGTGTGTGTGTGTGTGTGTGTGTGTGTGTGTGTGTGTGTGTGTGTGTGATAGAGATATTTAAGAAATATATTATGAATGCAGTAAGATAACAGAATGAATATCTTTCGCTGATTATTTGATAGATATCAACATGATCATAATTTCATATCATTAAAGACTACCTTCTGTGATCACCCAGTGACCACAGACCCCCTTTTCCACTGACCCCTGGTTCTTGACCCCAATACTTGACCCCCATGGTTTCTGGCCCAGGGCACTTGACCCCCTAGTTCCTAACCCATTTCTTCTAATCACTGGCTTCTGTTCCTGTCTTTTGGCTCTTAATTCCTATGCCACCTTCTCTTAACCACTGTCCTTTGATCTGATTCCTGTCCTTTCACCCCTGGATGCTGGTTCCATAACTCCTGATCAATGGTTTGTGACCCTTGATCAATGACCTCTGACCCCCTAGTGAGTGGTCGCTGAGTGACCCCTGGCTGACCTCTTTCTCCGGAGCCGTTGAGGTAAGCTCTCATAATAGCGTCCAAGCTGACATCCGTCCAGAAGATGAGTGAATGGTAGTAATGGTAGTCGATGGCTATTGCATTTTGTAGTCCCTTGGCCACGCTGGTATACGCTCTCCCATCAATGTTGATCTGTCCCAGAGTGGAGAGAACATTCTGTAATGTGCACGTGTGATCACCTATGTGTACAAATAAAAAAAAAGTGATATAAAAACTGGCCACCCAGAATGTCCTTGGATTAAAACCGGGAAAGAGTTCGCGGAAGAGCGAGCACAAATTCCCAGCGGACTCATCGGCCTTCAGTCACGGAAGGAGGTTGGAAGAAACGTGAATCACCGGCAATTTTCAAGGAAGAGAAGAAAGGGAATGGTATGAGGGTGAACAAGAATGGGAAGAAGTTAGAGAGAGAGAAACAGAGACAGACAAACGAAGACAGAGAAAATCGACGATTAAACCAATTACTCTTATTAACGTGTGAGACTTGTCTGTATGAATGAGAGTTTACGAAGGAAGAGATATAATGAGCAGCTCGTGAATCCTGCAAAAAAGGCATACCTGCTGCTGCATACAGGTTCCCAGTTGGGGAAGACAGAGAAGCTAGAGAGGCTAACAGGCAGAGATATAATCCCTGAACGACACTAAGCTTCTTAAGATGAACTGGGGAGACTGTGCAATATACTTATGCCCAACAGTCAAACGTTAGCAGGATTAGAACTGTATGAGATCGAAGAAAGATTTGCTAATCAGTTCCCTAACGTTTAACGTGAGGGGCCTATAAGGAGATAATGAAGATCTGCCTGACGTTCCGTAATGAAAGACCAAGCCCATAAATTTAGCCGTAGTTTATAGAGGACAGAGGAGACACACAGGCAGACAATACCCTGCTGACGGTTACACAGCTTCAGTAAAAGTTATAGTTTGACTTAGCAGTGAAAAACATGAAATTATGAGTCAGTTGGCATCGCGATCAGTAGTCATATATATATATATATATATATATTTATATATATATATATATATAATATATATTATATATATATATATATATATATATATCAAAACCATACCCCCGGCCGGGATTGAACCCGCGGTCATAGAGTCTCAAAACTCCAGCCCGTCGCGTTAGCCACTATATATATATATATATATATATATATATTTTATATATATATATATATATATATATATATTATATATATATATATATATATATATATTATTTATATATATATATATTATAATATATTAATTATATATATATATATTATTATATATATATATATATATATATATATATATATATGATATATATATATATATTATATATTTATATATATATATATATATATATATATATATATATATATATATATATTATATTTATATATTATTTATATATATATATATACAATAAGATCACAGTAAACAGGCGATTTTAAAAAATGCAAAACAACCAATGTGAAAGAGTAGTGAAATTCCAAGCGCTTTCGTGACTACTCACATTGTCAAGGAACTATGAAAGCAATACATCAAAGGAAGGCAATTAAAGGGCTTAGATCACACCTCACAGTCAACCCCCACAACAATGAAACACCTGACGTGGGACAATACCGGACTCATAAGAAAAGAGGAACACTGCAGTAGGTCCACCGCTTGTCCAACTAGACAGGTCCTAACGACAACCCACCAACAAATCATTCTACCCAAGAAATAAGGTTTATTATTTGTCCAATGTATTATTAAACTCTAACCAAATTTCATTAATTATAAATGAATCTAATTTATACAAACCTAAGGAAATATTCATATTATTTTCAAAACTGCTTTTTATGAAACAAGATTCAATTATATTTCTGTCAACCATGGACTTGCTTGATACAACTTTCTCAACTTTTTGAAAATCAATTGGATGGTTAAAGTCTCTCACATGAATAAATAGAGCATTGGAATCTTGTCCAGTTCTAATGCTATATTTATGTTGTTTTAATCTAAGTTCGAGACTTTTACCAGTTTGACCGTAATAAACTTTATCGCAAATTTTACAAGGAATCTTATAGACACATCCATCAGCATTTTGGGGGGAATTCTTTATCAAAAGTTTTTTACTGTATCAAGATTTTTAAATACAACTTTAATATTAAAAGTCTTAAGAAGAGAAGGCATATCAACCAAGTTTTCATGGTAAGGGAGAACCAACATATTTTTAGTTGAATAAGGTTGGTTGCCCCTTTTTGGGTTGTAAAAAGTATTTCTAGCAATTTTAAATGATTTATCAATTACATTTTTCGGGTATTTCAGGTCATTGGCTATTTCATAAATTTTGGATATTTCTTCATCTATGAACTCTGGACTACAAATTCGTAAAGCTCTCAAAAACATTGATGAGAAAACAGACAGTTTAACTTTATCTTGATGGGAAGAATAATAGTGTACATAGGAACAGTTATTTGTAGGTTTTCTGTAAATTTTAAATTTGAATTCATTATTACCCTTAATAATTAAAACATCTAGAAAGGGCAATGAGTTATTTTCCTCAAACTCAACAGTAAAGTTTATAGAATAGGCTAAGCTATTTAATTTGCCAAGGAAATGGTGTATATCTACATTCTTGGGCATAAGACAAAATATCATCGACATATCTGAACCATTTTGCTCTATTAGGGAGGATTGTGTTAAGAAATCTTGTTTCAAAAAATTCCATGTATAGATTACTAAGAACAGGTGAAAGAGGATTTCCCATTGCCATACCAAACTTCTGAGTGTAAAACTTATCATTAAATACAAATTTTGCATCAACAATGCAAAGTTTAATAAGTTTAATGATAGTAGAAACTGGCAATGGTAAATCATAGTTAACGAGTTCTTCAGATAAGAAACTTAATAAATCATCAACAGGAACTTTCGTAAACAAGGAAGTAACATCAAAACTAACCATGTTAAAATCATTTAAGTCAGTCAAGGAGCTTAATTTATCAACTAAATCTAAGTTGTTTTTAACATTGAAGTTTGAAATTTTACCAACAATATGGCTCAAAATGTCAACAAGCCCTATTGTTGGTTAAATTTCTAACTTCAATGTTAAATATATTTTTTTTCATTAGGTTAAGAATGATTTTGGCGAAATTATTGCATACACAAATTTTCGCTTGACCTATATGGCAAGATGAGCGTTGCTATAAGCCAAGATCGCAAGTTCTGCCTATTTGGCACGACATATATATATATATATATATAATATATATATATATATATATATATATATATATATATATATATATATATATTATATATTATATATATATATATATGTCGTGCCGAATATGTAAAACTGTTCAATTAGCAAGAACTCATTTAAAATTAAGTCCTTTCTAAAAATTTCTCTTATACGTTTAAAGATATATTTTTTTCATTATTGTTTATGTAAAAATTTTTAATTTTGCTCCAAAAGAATCTAAGAAAACTTACCTAACCTTATTATAACAAGAACCATTTATTTTAGCCTAACCCAACTAAATATATTTTAGATTTGTTTACAATAATTTAATACTAAACAAACACAGTGAAATATATTTTTTTCGTTAGGTTCAGAATGATTTTGGCGAAATTATTGCATACACAAATTTTAGCTTGTCCTATATGGCAAGATGAGCGTTGCTATTTAAGCCAAGATGGCAAGTTCTGCCTATTCGGCACGATATTATATATATATATATATATATATTATATATATATATATATATATATATATATTATTATATATATATTATATATATTTATGAACATTAAAATGTATAAAATACCGACAGGTTGTTAGGTAAGACACATATGCAACAGTTAGGTATATATATATATATTATATATATATATATATATTATATATTATATATATATATATTATATGATATATATATATATATTATATATATATATATATATTATATATATATATATATAATTACAATTCGCAAACGGTCGAACTTTCGACAAACATTAGCTCTCAGTCCACAGCAGGATTCGAACCAAGCACACAGTACTTTCTCCACTCAGCCTTTCACACACACACGGACCTAGTAGCGACCAGTGAAGAGGCAGGGGCCAGGAGCTATGAATCGACCCTTGCGACCACAATTAGGTGAGTAACACAAACGCACACACACTTGTGGGAAGAACTTTAAAATCGCCTAGAGCTATCATGAAAATGGTTATCCTCAGAGCGTAACCTTGTGGGACGCCATCCACCTGCACAAAATCCTGGGAAGACTTTTATTTACGTAGCCATTGAACTGTCTCTCTCCAACTGAAAATCATTAAGGAAAAAGAAGACAATCATCCTCGATGACCTCAAGAATGGAGTTAGAATGAAATGTTGCTAAGCCATAAAATGTCGTCAGCATTTTTAATTCGGAAAATGTCCGCAATAACTGAATGGTTATACGTGATGGCTCTGAGAATGTATGTATAGATTTGGAATAATGAATCAACGGCGGAAAGGCTAAAACAGACTGATGAGGAGAAAGAAGTTTCGGATCTCTAGAAAATAAACGAGGCGTTTATTAACAAAGCGTTTTAATAGTTTAAGAAAATAGTCTATAATCACAACCTGTCCCGAAGTACCTGTTTTTCGAGGTTTTTCATTGTAGGTGTTAAACCGCCTTCGGTCCATAACTGGTTGGAAAAGTGCAAGAGGAAGATAAGTGGCTTAGGATGAAAGTGTCGACGCGAGAACTTGAATCAACGCAAATAGCACTGATGTAAATTCTCGCGAGGTGACGGAGGACGTAGTGAGACTTACATCACGGATGTCGCCACGGTTTGCGAAGATGAGTCGTGGCAGGGGACCTTCAGCCTTACAGGTGTTGTTGTCAGGTCTGAGCCAGTAACCATCCACACAGGAACACTTGAAGCCAGAATCAGTGTTCTCACACAGCTGAGAACACGGCCGGAACACAGAACACTCGTCCACCTCCACACACCTGTCCCAGTGAATGAAAATTACCATTTAAGGTGTACTGGTGTAACTATATATGTGCTTATTGTTATTGTTTAGATAATATGTGCATTTGTTATTTAAATAATGGTATTATATTCATGAAAAAGCTCTAAACTCATAAGGGAATTGGAGGTAATCAGGTATGAAGGGGAGGGTAGGAGGGTAGCTCTAATCTCTTGGATCAAGAACCTATATTTTGTATATTATATATATATATTATATATATATTATATATATATTATATATATTTATATATATATATATATATATATATTATATATATAAGGTGCATGAGGCAGTGGAAGTGGATAAAATGAAATAGGGTAAAGCAGCTGGGATTGATGAATTAGAGACAGTAATATTCAAAGTGGTGGGGATATAGTTTTGGAGTAGTTGATGCTTTTATTTAATAACTGTATGAAAGAGGGGAAGGTACTTAGGGACTGGCAGAGAGCATGCATAGTTCCTTTATATAAAGGCAAAGAGGAGAAAAGGGAGTGTAAAAATTATAAGGGAATAACTTTTTAATGTTTATGGTAGAGTTATTATTGAAAGAATTAAGAGTAAGATGGAGAGCATGATCGCAGATGAACAAAGAGGCTTTAGGAGAGGTAGGGGGGGGGTGTAGACCAAGTGTTTACAGTGAAATATATTAGTGAACAGAATTTATATAAGGGTAAAGAAGTTTTCATTACATTTATAGATTTGAAAAAAAAGCATGATATGGTGGATAAGGTGTCGTAGATGTTACAGGTGTATGGAATAGGTGGTAGGCTACTGAAAGCAGTTAAGAATTTTTATGAGGAGAGTTAGGCTCAGGTTAGGGTATGTAGGAGAGAGGTAGATTATTTACTAGTAAAAATAGGCCTTAGACAGGGATGCGTGATGTCACCGTGGTTGTTCAGTATATTTGTAGGTGGGGTTGTAAGAGAAGTGAATGAACGGGAGTTGGGGAGAGGTGTGGGATTCGAAGATAAAGAATCTAACACAAAGTGGGAGTTGTTATAGATGGTTTTTGCTGATGACACTGTGCTTTTGGGAGATACTGAAGAGAAATTGCAGAAGTTGGTGGACGAGTCTGGAAGTGTATGTAAAAAAGGAAATTAAAAGTGAACATAGGAAGGAACAAGGTGATGAGGGCAACAAAAATTTAGGAAATAAAAGACTGGATATCATATTGGAAGGAGGAAGTATATAGGAAGTGAATGTGTTCAGATGTTTGAGAGTGGACTTGTCAGCAGGAATTGACGAGAGGAGAAAAGGTGAGTGGTGCACTGAAGGAGTCTAGAGAGACAAAGAACGTTATCCATAGAAGCAAAGAGGTGAAGGTATAAGGGAGTAGTTGTACCAACACTCTTATATGGGTGTGAAGTATGTGTGGTGAATGTTGCGAGAAGGAGGTAACTGGAGGCAGTGGAGATGTTGAGCCTGAGGGCGATGGGCAGTGTGTATATTATGTAGAGAATTATGTGGATTGAAAATTAGAAGGACGTGTGAGGTTGCTAAAAATATTATCCAGAGGGCTGAAGAGGGGTTGTTGACGTGGTTCGTACATTGACAGAGGATGGAATAAAATAAAGGAAGGCAGGGTAAGGGCCGGTATAGGAAAGGTTGCAGGGAGGGGGTAAAAGAGGTTTTGTATGTGTGAGGGGCTTAGACATCCAGCAAGCACGTGTGAGTGCGTAAGATGGAAATGGAGACAAGTGGTTTATATTACTTGACTTGCTATTGGAATATGAGCAAAGTAACATTTATGAAGGAATTCAGGAAAGAGTAAGGATATTTGCAGTTTTGAGCCGCTGTATCGGCGCCTCTGGCAAGACAGTAATGGAGTGAGTGATGGTGGAAGTATTTCTACCTTCTTGGGTCACGATACCTCGGTGGGAGACGGCAGGGTGACCCAATATATATATATATATATATATAATATATATATATATATATATATATATATATATATATATATATATATATATATATTATATATATAGAAGAATGTTTGAAATGAGTTCAGGTGAATGTAGATCATTGTTACATCGTCGTTATGTTCATGATTTCTTTCTAATATTTAAGTAACTAGATGGTGCAGTATTATCCTCGCAACGTTTACATTTAAATCACTCAAATATTTAATTTACTTTTAAAGTAGAAAGGAAATATAGGCATTGTTGAACATACCTGAGTCACAGTGACTCTCACAACTTAACATTCCTGAGAGTCACAGTGACTCTCACAACTTAACATTCCTGAGAGTCACAGTGACTCTCACAACTTAACATTCCTGAGAGTCACAGTGACTCTCACAACTTAACATTCCTGAGAGTCACAGTGACTCTCACAACTTAACATACCTGA